CTGTTTCTAGACTTCTAGCAGTCTGCCATCCATACCAGCTGCCAGATCTCAGCTGCAAAAATAATTCATAACCAAATGCACTCATATTTCACCATTTTAATGATTTACGAGTGCTTGCGGATGCTTCACTGAAACCTCAAATCCTGTAAACCTTTATGTGAATATCCCAAAGGCATTTTTGGTATCTGCTAGCAGCGGCTCAAACCATCCCTGGTATTCACTGACATTATTTTCACCCCTCTTCAAACTCCGACTCATCAAAAACAATTTCACAAAATGTGCCATCAAGGATCTGTGCTTCACGTTGTAAAGGAAGGTTCATACTTCAGAGGTTATATTTGATGTTTGTGGTCAGGTTTTTTCCATCATGTGTGAAGGGGTTTCCTGTCTTTTCCATAAGTGATGCTAAATGCTAAATTCCAAAATTACACAAATGAGCGGAAACGTTTTTCAATCTAATCTATCTAAAGCACCTGTAGCGCACAGTCAGTTACTGTAGTTAATAATTTCCCTGCACTTTTTCTCTGCTCTATTCTAGGTTGGAAAAGGTGTCAAAATTATTGTCCGTAGTGATCATCAGTGTTGGGCGCAATACTTTGAAAAAGTAGTGATGGCTGAATACTGAATACTCTGTCCTAAATGTATTCAGTGATGTATTCCATTACAATAAATAAAAAGTAACATATCAGAATACATTTAGAGTATATTTAAAATACAATTCTCGTACAATTCTTGGTAAAGCACTTTGGAAAAACTCACACTGTTGCTCGCTGTTACTGTCTAGTAATTTTATTCATATGATTTTTTTAAATATATTTCATGAAAAATTTGCTCATCATTTAAATGAAAAACTACTGAGGAGATTATTAGTGATGATCATCCCTAAAAAGAGCTAACACTGAGATAAATATCATTGATTTATCAGTCTACTTAGGCTTTAGCAGAGCTCAGTAACACTGAGATTAATAGCATTGAGCATAGCATTGAGCTAATTACCAAGCTAAGCAAACTTTGTAACTCAGACTGTTCTTTCAGATGTCAGAGTTCATCAACACTTTGAATAATCACTTTTTCTGGTTTAAGTGTGATGCACTTCTTTTTTGTTGGTGCTAATTGCTAAAAAATTGGGATGTAGAAAAGAAATACAAGTTAGTAGGTTTAAGTCAGGTCTACATAATTTAGTTAAAAAGGGAATTCCACTGACTTTTCTAAATTTCTGCATAATTAAATAGTTAAGATGTAAACAAAGTCATTTAAAATGGTTTAATGTATAATGCTCCGCTCTGGAGAAGGTTACAAATTCAAAGCTGTTCACAGTGGTGGTGATGGGAACCAGACGTCTGAAGAGTTTTAATGCCTCTAAAAGCTCCCTTATGGAAAGCTATTACATGGAATGATTACAAATACACTGTCTGATACATTGTTTTGAAATAGTTTTATGGATGTTTTTGCCTAAAGTGTATTTTTGAATTAAAATATGGCAAGGTGTTGTGAGACAAAATAGTTCCCAAAGAAAACTTATTTTTTCATATTTTTCACTATTTTACTATCATTAACATTACATATAAAACTCAGAAGATGTGTAGATTCACTGATGGTTTTGGATAGTAAATAAAACAGCTATATTTGTGCAGATATTGTGTCCCCTGGTTTCACTCTCAATGACTTTGTGTCTCAGTGACTGAATTAAGCAGATATTTTGAAAAAATGGTGGAATTCCCCTTTAATTTGCTACTGTAGTACCTGCACATACAAGGGAAGGTAAAGACAACACAAAGAGGGTGAGTAAAACAAGCAAAACTATATGCAAATAGATAATTCCAGATTCTAGAGCCAATGGGAGTGATGTTGAGTTTAACTGAAACAACACAACTGACTCAGTCTCTCTGACTTTGTTAAGTAGTAATATGACATGCATTTGTTAAGTAACTATTTAATGTTTTGGAGTGTGATTTTATTGTTTGTGCCTAAATTCTAAAACTAGAGTCTTCAAAAACTAGACCTTGAATCCAGTATCACTCCTGGATTTTGTAATCATTGTATAACACTAGGGGGCCAATCAGTTACATCAACAGTTAATTTTACTACCACTGATTACAAAATACAGGACTGTATTTATTTAACTGGATTTAAGATCTGGATTTATTAGACCTCTGTTCTAAAACATTTTGTTTCAGTCTTTTTAGATGACGGAGTGTTTTTTTTACGTCATTGCTGGGATGAAGTTTCTATCTGAAGTGTCTGTCTGAGCTGGTGAATAATATGCACCACAGTCGACTCACAGACACTGTGACTTTTTAGATCTGAGCATTCTACTGGATTCATGAATGAAAAGCTTTAGAGAGTCAGAATGATTCTCTCACTGGCTCTCAATCTCACACACTCTCACACAGTCTTCTTCCGTCAGTCTCTCTCCCTCTCTCTCCTCATTCCAAGAGTGGGCGCTGCACGTCACTGACTGGCTGGCAGTTATGTGCCATGTGTGTGTGATGTCTCAGTGATATTGTGGAAAGTGGGCCTCGTCTGACACACTGTCTGCCCTGTCTGCAGGAGTAGGAGAGAGGGGATTGCTCAATGTGTTTCTGTGTCTATGAGTGTGTTAACCCCTTAAACCAACTGCACAACTCTACCAGAGCTTGCATTCCTGCCTTAAACTCTTCCGTTCCTCCCTCATAACTGTGTAATTTACATATTCTAGTTTTTAAATAAGCCTTAAAGTGAATTAGAAAAATCTAATTCACACAATTTTCCTCTTGCCCAAAATGTCATTGATCAGCCAAGACTGGTGTCTAGAGTCTTGCACTCAGTAATGCTAAGTAGCTAATTAATGCAAGCTTATGCATCCCTGCTGAACAACAGAGATCAGAATGCTAGTTTATGTTGGAATAGTTGTGGTCTGGTGCCGGTTTAGCTGGTCACCCAGCATATGTTGTGTTTAGATGGTGGTATTCTGGTCACCCAGCATGGTCAGCCTACCAGCTTCCAAAACACAACATAAGCTGGTTTTGCTGGTCAGCCATTCTAGTCTATGCTGATGTTTTCTTCTAGCAGGGATACTGTTAAGATTGTACAAACTGCATGTCTAAATCATCACACACTTGTCTTAAACTGTGTGGAGCTGTTAAGTAAGCTCAAATAGAATGCTTATGTGGTTTCTAAGGGGGGTTCACACTGTGTTTTCTCTGAAGGCAGAATCACGAGGCACACTGCACTGCATACTTTATTCTTTGGGTTTCACACTGTCTTTTTGAATGCTGCTCCTGGCTGCGTGTCTTCCTCTTGCTGCTCATCATAACTGTTAATCAGCTGTGCTAGCAGATCGTTTCAATATGTATGGGTGGAAAGAACATTTCACTGCTACTGTTAACTAGAAAGGTGCTGCTAGCAAAAATAAGATAAACGGCTATTTGTTTATGTCATGATTTCAATCCGTGAAAAACATACATACATACATCATCTAAACCGCTTATCCTTCTGGGTCGCTGGAGCCTATCCCAGCTGTCATTGGGCGGAAGGCAGGATACACCCTGGACAGGTCGCCAGTCCATCGCAGGGCAGACAGACAGACACATTCTCACACACACACCTAGGGGCAATTTAGCATGTCCAGTTGGCCTGGCTGCATGTCTTTGGACTGTGGGAGGAAACCCACGCAGACACGGGGAGAACATGCAAACTCCACACAGAAAGGACCCTGGTCGCCCGGCCGGGAATCGAACCCAGGCCATTCTTGCTGTGAGGCGACAGCACTACCCACTGCGCCACCGTGCCGCCTCTGTGAAAAACAGTTCAGGCTAACTCAGCAACTGCAAATGCTAATCTCTCTGTTACTGTAACTGATCTGGGCCTTTACATAGGCTACTTGCATGCCAAAGCTACGGGCTAAGCTCCGAGCAAAACATGTCTCTCTCAAAAAATGTGTACAAGCTGAAACCCCCTTTACAGCATATGATGTCCTGTTAAATGGACAAAAGTATGTTGTATCGCTAAAAACAGTAGCAGCCATCTTGAAGCCTGAGCTTTGTTTGTAGTTTTGCCTAATTTTCTATAGGTATGTCATACAGTGTTAGAAACCACATAAGCAAGTCCATTTGAGATAACAACGCTCAAAATTAAAAAAAAAAAATAGACAAAAGTATGTTGCTTAGCTAAAACGAGCAGTAGCAGCCATCTTGAAGCCTACTTTGGTTGTATACATAATAGCTTAACATGCAGTGTCAGAAACCACATAAGCAAACCTATTTTAGATTATTTAACAACTCTGTTTGAGGCAAGTGTGTGATGATTTAGGCAGGCAGTGTGTAGGATGCGAATTGTTGTGCTTGAGATACTTGCTAGGATTAGCCTTGTAGCTTGTGCAAAACTAAAGAAGCAAACTTTAGACACCACTCATGTCTTGGCTAATGGAGTACATTTTGGGCAAGGCAAAATTCTGTAAATTGCTGCTCAAACCATTGCTTTAAGATTACTAACTAAATAAACTTGGAACTTAAGGGATTAAAGCAGCTTTCTACTGTCTCAACATGAGACCCTTTTACAGAATCTGCAAACAAGTTGCTACCTTCATACTTTCTCACTGTTTCCTCACAGCACAGGCACACATTTATCAGCACAGACATTCGTTTTCAGGCTGGTTTCGGAATGTGTTTTGAAGGTGATGGGGCTTGGAAGCCCACAGATGGAAAATAGGGCTTATCCAACTCAAGAAGTGTGTGTGTTTGCTCAAACTATGCATCCAAATATTTGCTCTGCACACACATGGCACAAGCAGTTTGAAGTGAAAAGGCCAAGATTCCTCTGCAGTGAAATAGCACTAATTAGTCACAATTGCTTCCTTTATTTCACATGTATTGAAGAATATTCCACTCACAGTGACTCGTACCATGGCATGTGAATGTGTGTGTGTGTATGTGTGTGTGATATCAGAGGGGGCTGTGCTTTTGGCAGCTCTATAAAAGCTGCAGCCACTGAAGGAATCTCTTCATCAAGGGCAACTGAGCTCCACACTGCTGCTACTGGCCTTTCACACGCTCACAGACTAAGCTTCGGATTGCAGGAACACACATTAAAACAAACCAAGCAGCCTGTTTAGGACAGAAAAGAAGAGGAGGAAGTGAAAGCAGCACGCTAACAGGGCTTTTTTCACTTGTCTTCAGAGTTATTTTCTTTTTTTTCTTTTTTCCCCACTTCATTTCTTTCACATCATCGGCACCTTTGACAGCTCGCTCCACTTTTCTTTCCACACACCTCACTTTCTGGCTGAAATGTCATCTTTGAGAAAGATTCTAAGGCAAGCAAATCTTCTCGCACTGGTGTTCCTGTCCTGGTCTGCTGTGAAGGTGAGAGCAACTTTTGCTGTGTTTTTTTAAAAGGGGTGTAAATCTCTGTCCTCACAATGATTCTATTTCACATCTTAAGGAGACAATACAGCGCCAATATGAAATTTCAAATTGCAGCATGATTCGATTCTGTATTGGTTGAGGGGATTGAATTATTTTGGCGCATTTCAGAATAGCTTAATCAACCAAACCAAATGTGGTTGGAGGGAACTGTTTACAGAGTGGTGAGATACAGACAATAAAGTTCCAAGCTTTTTACATCTACATGTAAATAGTTTGAGCTAAATTTTGTTTTGAGCAAAAAAAAAATGAGAACATACTTTGACATACTATATCATCCCACTTAAGCAAATTGAGAAAGCCTGTGTAGAAATGTATTGCACTATTGCTTAGAACTCATCTGGAATAAAATTAGTCAGTTATGGATTGAATCATCATATCATCATATTTAAATGCGGTATTATATAGCAATACGGGGTCACATAAGAAATTCCTGACTTGAACACAGCTAGTTTGGCATGCATTTATTTAAAATTCCATTTAGATCTTGTATACAGATGAGATGTTAGAAGGTTTCATTCTGTAGCCATTTTCAGCCAAAAGAAAAGAAAAATACATTTTCACCTTTTAACTCTGCACTGGTTATCTTCATCTTGTTCACAAAGGTTCTATCTTTTTAACCATCATCTTTTTCTTCATCTTTTTTTAACCCTTTAATTTCTATGGATGTCTGCCCAGGCTTCAGTTCCTTACTCCCACCACTACATACCTTACATAGAAGTTACTAAGTAATTTATAGTACATTCTTAGCAATATATATATATTACTGCTGGCAGAAGAAAATCTCATATCTCCATTTTTGCCTGGGTTAAGGTTTGGATTAGGGTTAGGGTGAAAATGCCTGTTGCCCTTTATATTGTGTGTAAATTTCACCAAATGAAATGGCCCAAAATGACTTGAAAAAAATTCTGGTTCCATTGACTTACATTAAAAGTAAAGTAGGTTTTTTCCTTTATATATATATATATATATATATATATATATATATATATATATATATATATATATATATATAGCACCAACAATGTTTGTGTAACATTAGCAGAACTTTTTTTGATGCTGTAAAGAACCAGAAAAGCTTATTTAAAGAACCAGGTTCTCATGGAGAAGAACCTTTTAACTGCAAATAACCATTAATGCATTCAAATGGTTCTTTGAGTTGCTATGGTTCTATATATATCACTTCAGAACTCTTGAAGAACCCACCTTTTTAATGATGTACACTGTTACAAATAAAGGTACTGTGCAAGTATATGTCTCGTTCATCAAGGCACAAACAATGTAAATGTACCTTCAAAGGTACAACAATGGTTTTAAGGTACAACTGTGTACCTTAAATATGTTTTTCCCAGGTGAAAAGTACATATTTGTACCTTTTCATAAGCTACTACCTTTTTCCTGAGAATGTAGCTAGAAGTTAATAAGCCTTAAGATTAATAACTGAATAAAAAGCATCTTTAGAGGGACTAACTTGAACTATAGATAAATTCATCTTATTATTATTTCTTATCCCTCTCTCTCAGGCCCGGGGTGAGTGTCCTCTGAAATGCTCATGCCCCTCCTCTCCCCCATCCTGCCCGCCGGGCATCAGCTCAGTGCTAGACTCCTGCGGATGCTGCCGGCAGTGCGCCAGGCAGTTTAACCAGGACTGCAGCCTCGCAGAGCCTTGCGACCACATCAAGGGGCTGCGCTGCCACCTAGGGGCTGGAGGAGATCCCCAGAGAGGCCTGTGTAGAGGTAAGGAGGCATTGCTCAGCTTTAGCCTTGGTTCAAGTGGTCACTGATGTCTAAATCAGTTTAGTAAGAGCATGTTTGGAACAGACTGGAAGGGTAAAAGTGGAAATCTTGAAAACTTTTAAAATGTTCACAGTGTTGCTCATGGTGATTGTTCTTTCAACACATGTCAGCGCACATGCATCCTAATATCTAACAGCTGTGAACATGGAAGTGATATTACTGGAGCTTTGCATCATCTGCTAAGCTGCTAGAGTGTCATCACACCCACTAAAGGAATAGCTTGGTGAAAAATCAAATATGCACAATTTCCCATTACCCCAAATGTAGTTGATGTAGTATCCAAATTTCGCTTCTTTAGCTGTGCTTCAGAGCCCACTAATTAGCATTTTGCAAACTGAATGTCAGTATCATCACATACTTGTCCCAGTTTGCATCATTTTCATCTCAAATAGACTTGCTTATATGGTTTCTTGTACTGACAACATTATATTACGTAGCAGTAGAAATAGCACAGGCCTTCACAAATATCAAGCCCCCAAAATTTTGTCCCATTTTAAGCGATTCAGTTTACATTTTATCTCTATTTGAGATTCTAGCAAGAAAATATTTTATTTTGTAAAAGAAAAAAACAATAAAAAGCACATCTTTTCTGTGGGAAATACTGTATTTGAATATTGTCTGTACATTTCCAACTTTAAAGATAACAGTATATCTATCTATATAAACCATATAAACAAGTCTATTTGAGGTAACTAAACAACTTGATGTGGCTTAAGGAAAGTCTGTGATAATGTAGGCATGATGTTTGCACTATGTTAATTGGTGAGAGATATTCTTACATTGCTTGTTAGCTACGTTAGCCTCATAGTGCCAGTACAAATCAAAAGGCCAGAGCACAATGACGGGACAAAGATGAACGGGACAAACACAAATGTTTGGTTGGTGTGCCATACTCATGTTTGATTGTTGAAAGACTCTCTCTCTTCCCATTCGCTGGTGTTCATTTTACTTGTATGTTCTTTTTCTGAACATTCTAAGGACAACAGCATACATGTTTGTGAAGTCAAACATTTCTTGGTTAATCAACCACACTTGAAACAAGGGGAAAACTGTATAAATTAGACTTTGGCTTACCCACTGATTCAATTTACTTTGTAGCAGAGGCACAAGGTCGGCCCTGTGAGCTGGATGGCCGAGTCTACCAGCACGGTGAAGACTTCCAGCCCAGCTGTGAGCACCGCTGCAATTGCATGGATGGAGTGGTGGGCTGCATCCCTCTCTGCCCACACCATATCCCACTGCCCGACTGGCACTGTTCCCGGCCCCGACTGACCACACTGCCTGGCCGCTGCTGTCAGGAGTGGGTTTGTGACGATGACAACCGCATTGATGAAGATGACCAGACGGATGACCATACACCTCCCGAGCACACTGACCTCACGGGCAATGAGCTGCTGGTGGTTGCCCCAACACCTTGGGACAGTAGTGCAGGAGCACCCTATCAAGGTATGCTACTGTTCAAAAGTTCAATAAATATTTTCATTAACATAAAAACCAGTTTGATTCCAGATAAATATTCACATGCTAATGTGCTTCTCCTGTGCAGCTTCACAGCTTTCAAATAATTTGTCGGTAAAAATGACTGATAGCTTTATAACATCAAAATTGAATTGATAATAAGATTAATATATGGAATGTTTGGTATTTCAAAAGTGATCAAATAACATTCAAAAATGGTAAATATTGCATAAAAATGACAATCATGGTATGTTATTTATCACTTTACAACTTCTGTTTGTTCCCAAAATGCTTGAAATACCTCTTGATATCTATTTTGTAATAGATAGTATAACATAAACAAAATCATCAATTAACAAGTGATTACGAACCTTTGAACTGTTATCATGGCACCTAAATTTTTGGCCAAAGTAGATCTCCATAAATAAAAGATTTCATTGCTCCATTTTGGCAGCTTTTTTGTAAGGAATGTGAACTGTAGAAATCTGTTCTTTTGCACACCACTTGTCTATTTTTAGAATTTCTACATAACCATAAATGGGAAATCAAGCCAAACAAGCCTGCTGTGTAGTGCTGGTCACCACATCTTCTGCTGCAGATCTATCTTCCAGCAAAGTTCAGCTCCAACCCAAATATCTGAGCACCTTGTGAAAAAGAACACTGATTACACTGATTAAAAATAAAGGTTCTTAAATGGTTCTTATGTATACAGTTCTTCTAAGAACACCCTTTAATTTTAATAGAGCCTTTACATTGTGTATGCTCTTCAAATTTTAAAAAGGTTCTTCACACATGGTTCTTTAAAGAGATCAAAGCCATGTTTAGATACTTTATATGTATCTCTGTTTTATATTTTCAGAGTGGATTACCTCCTCCCAGTCCCACGCCCTCATCCCATCCACATGCTTCCTGCAGACCACTGATTGGTCCCCATGCTCAGCCACCTGTGGGATAGGCGTGTCCAGCAGAGTAACCAATAGTAATATGGAGTGTCGGCTCGTGAGGGAGACACGCCTGTGTCAGATACGAGAGTGTGGTGGAATCCCAGCCCTGACGCCGAAGGTAAGAAAACACAGTTTACACCTCCATGTAAGACTTGCTATGCGCCTTAGTGAAAACAAGCTGCCATGGAGCTAACAGGATAGTTTTTATGAATCACTTTATTTGAAAGCCTTACGTTGCTGATGCACCTTGCTGGTATACAGTTGGAGATTGCTGGCCATCTAATGATGTACAGTTTGTGCTACTGTTCTACTACCCTCTATCAGTGGTCAGTTTCTGATGTCAGAGCCACTCTTGGCTGGATATTTTTGGGTGGTCGGCCACCCTTGACCCAGCAATGACACTGACAATGTGTAAAAATCCCAGCAGCACTTGTACCAACACTACACACGCTTCCATGTCACTAGCATGTCAGTGTCGCAGCTGTGCTGAAAATGGTCCACCACCAAAATAATGTCTAATCCACCAGCGGCCCTGTGGTCCAAAACTGACCAAAGATGGATGGAGTAGAAGTGGCTAATGACAACAGATAGGTCTATAATTGTTACGTATAAATAGCGGACTTATACAAAAAGGTTATGTACTGATGTACTAAATACACTGGCTATATATTCCATTGTCATATTAGCCAATAGGTGCAATGTAGAGTTTTCTTATAAAACCGATGACCAGTGTATGTGAGTTTTAACTCCCTTTTGTCCTCCTCAGAAAGGAAAGAAATGTCAGCGGACGATGAGGTCACACAAGCCTGCTCCTATCACGTTTGCCGGGTGCTCTACCTTTCGCCACTACCGGCCACGGTCCTGTGGTTCCTGTGTGGATGGCCGCTGTTGCGTCCCCTCACTGACCCGCACTGTCCGTCTGCGGTTCCACTGCCCACTAGGCGATGGCTTCACCCGCAACTTCATGTGGATCCAACAGTGCAGTTGCAGCCAGAACTGCAACAGTCGGGGACTGGCATGGCACCCAGAATCCCTCAACCTGCCCAATGACATTCACACATTCTCACCCTGACTTCCTGATCTTCAGCCAAGTTTTCCTGGACGTACTACAGAGTAAAACAGTATGTCTGCACCAATGTGGAATTTCTGGGCTGATAACTATAACTGTTTATTAACGACTGGCCAATATTGATACAACCAAAAAGACAGGTTAAAAGGCTAAAGATGCAGGCAACCCCATGTTCTTTAGGCCACATACATCACTATAATTAGGTGTTTTCAAATGACTAATTCAATTAAGGGAACTGCAGGTGCATTTCTGCTCACTATAAACTGCTAATTAAGTTGTCCTCTACTCATACCCTGAAGAACTTTCACATCGATGACGTTTTCACTCTGCAGCATCCGATCAGGGGTATACAAGTGTCAGTGCAGGCGTGAGCAAAATAGGGCAAGTTATCATTATAGTTAGCTGTAATTTTAGTTTCACACTGCTAAAAATAATTGCACTTTTTCATTTATGGGCAAATAATTTTTTGACTGTAGATTATCTCACGCGCCTCCATGCACTAGTAATCTTATTTTAATCATTCTTCTCAGCTGATATCAATTTATTATCTATGTTATGTCATTGCACGTATGGAGGAAAACTGTATATAGGAAAAGTCCCAATCTTGAATTAACACCTACAATGCGTTAGATCAATTTACGAATTACGTTAGACCTTTAACTCAACTCAAATTCCACGAGCAACAAGGCTAAACATTGTGGTAAATGATGTGTAATCTATATGCTATAGAGACAATATAAAATTCTGTTGTATGAAAACAATGTAACTTATTTACACATGTTTAAATGCAAAAGTAGGCTTGGATATCTTCATATAAGAAATTGAAAGTCAAAATTGTAAATATGTCTTGTACATATTCATATTTGTTTGCTTCATTTTGTGTTTGTACAGACTTCACTTGAGGTGGAGTGTCGTCTTTTAAAATCACCTTTGTTTTTGAGGTGAATACATAAGGGCCAACAGTAATATTTTATATATGTATTTATAGACTTTAATTTTGATAAATAAACTTGTTATAATATCTTTGACTTTGTGGGTAGTAAATTATGTGTGTTCATTATTTACAATACTTCACTGTCAGCATGAAAGTCATTATTATTTAAGTAATAATAATAATAATAATAATAATAATCATATTTTTTTATTGTTATAGCACCTTTCCAAAGCTGAAGGCTGCTTTACAGAGCATTAAAAACAGGCCAACAATGAAGCCAATTATGAAACAATGAGGCACTAAAGCTCTACAGTGCTGTAGCGCCTAATCCTTTGAAGATGTACAGTGTGATAGCATAAATGGACGACTTAATCTAGGACCAAAAGCCACAGAAGAACAACACAAGAAATTTCTATATTTAGACCATAAAACTTTCATAAAAATGGTACTTTCTAACATGTTTATGCATGTTGCTGCAAATCCTATCATTTTTTGTACCACAAATTAGCAGATAGTAAAGGTAGAGTGAGTTAGCTTAAAGTCAACTCGAATCAGAATTGACCTTTTTATACTTTGTTACATATTAAGCATGACAGGCAGGGAAATCAATAATATTGTTTTTCATCTTCCCCTCACACTGCCCCTACGTATCATTGAGCCAAAACACTCAGCTAGCTCAGGGACCTTCCTAATACTGTGTTTCACTCAGAAATACAGAAAAGGCATAATGATTTCCAGTTAACTTTAAGCAATATCAGTCGCCAAGACCTGTTATTCCATTATGTAGCTACAGGTAAAATCTGCAGCATGTTAATGATGTGTATAGATCATAGTACTTTTCTACATCATTGGAAAAATAATGATTAAAAATTACATAGGTGAATCGTTGTTTCAGCCTGGAGAGACTTGATGGTACAGCCTGGGCAGGCAAAAAAAAAAAAAAATAAATTAAAAACATACTGGATCAACATAATTTCTCTGGAGTTTATTTTGTGCCAAAACTTTCAAATAAAATAATAAAATCCACAAGCAAAATGTTAAGAACCAATATGTCCATAATAATTTGCAAATACAAACAGAGTTAAATAAGCTTAATTTTTAAATTAATTACTGCTCATTTCCACTCATTCTGATATAAACTTTTTACTCATTTTGGCAGTCTTTGCTTTCTTTTTTTCTATTTACTGATGTATTTTTTGCTTCTGCTCCCTTCTAAAATATTTCTTTTGCTTCTGACCTTTGGCACATTTTCACAGGGAGCATGTCTTTGAAGTGGGCATTCACCTGCATTCTCTATTGGCCAACTGATTTGGAGTGATAAGTCTTCTAAACATCTCCACACCCGCTCCATGGGCTGCCCTTTACATGTCAGAACACTAAGTACTGACAATAGTATTGCCAGAGGGGATTGCTCTGGCATGTCCAACATAATGTGCACTGTTCATCGTATTTGTTAATGTAGCATCCACTCGGGTTCCTGTGTCGGACATGCTAGGCTAATATCAGACATGTAAGGGCATGCCAGTACAATGCTGCATCCAAGGCAGCAGCAAAGTCCTTTATAACTTTGTAACTCCTTTATAATATATCTGGCAGAACTCACTACAACATGTTCCACCACGCTGAGTGGTGAGGTGTGAGAAGACCTGTCACTCCAAATCAGTTGACCAAAAGAGAGTGCAGGTGAATGCCCTGTTCTAAGCCTCACCCCCCATTAAAAAGTGCCAATTAAGTCAGAAGCAAAAGAAAAATTTAGAAGCAAAAATGTATCAGCAAAATCAGCAAATAGAAAAAATAGTAGTAATCTTTTTGAAAAAATTATATTTCATCCAACTCTTATCATTTGTATCTGCAACATATTTTGGACATTTTGATGCTTAAAATTTTGCTTGTGGATTTTAGTATTTTATTTGAAAATGTTGCCATTTAAAATTAACTCCACGTGTTTTCTCTCATCAGTAGCTTAGGACTCCATTTTGGCTACCCAAGTGCAGAGTTGTGGTTTTGGCTGAAGGCCCAGGTTCATGTGCCTGTGCGTTTGTACGCAGTGTTGGAGGCCAGCACTGTACAGCAAACATAACAGCAGCCTCTCAAATACCTCAATGTCCTTCAGAGTCTATCCCTATAGTACTACAGCCTCCACAAACACTGCTGTACAAGTCAGTGTACCGCACACTTGATCACTTGACCTTCTGTCCTCAACCTCAACTGTACATAAATAATATCTGGTTGAGATGCTAATAGGGTTACGACTTGCCCACGATTGTGATTGGTCATCATTTTGAGTGACTGTCCAGGACTATCCATTCCTGTGTACAAAATGTCCCAGAATTCAACTTGTTAGCATTTATGCTGCTTTATTTTATCCAATCAAACCATTTGGGGTTTGAGGGTTTGATTACCCTCGATGCAGGGACAACTGTTTGTGAAATGTGGTTGGTGACGTTTCGGCATTAGGTTGGAGTAGAACGCAATAGCTGAGAAGATTAGGTTCTATAGCTAAAATGACACCTATCACATCTTCGCAAGCCTAGCTACCCTGATTCACTAATTGAGTGTCAACCCTAGTTAGATAAATGTTAAATGTCTTGCCTAATTATTCCAATGATTTACAGCAAATATCTAGCCAAAATAATTTACAAATGTCCCCAAATGTAACTGAGTAGCCAAGACATGTCTAGTGTCTGAAGTTTGCTTCTCTAATTTTGCACTCGATTGATGAGGGTAACAAGTAATAGAAGCTTCTAGCTACTATATAACATTGTGCTAGCTGCATGCAAAATTATCACACACTTGATTCAAACCATGTTGAGTTGTACTGTTACTTATAAAAACAGACATGGGCTCCAAAATGGCTGGCAATAGCCAGTAGTATACTTTTGTCCTTTTTATCCCTTTAATAGCATGCCATACAGTGTCAGAAGCCACATAAGCAAGTCTATGTGAGATGATTTGACAGCCCAACAGAGTTTGAGGCAAATGTGTGATGAATTAGACATGTAATTTGCTAGACACTTCCTTTAGGCCTTACTTGTTAGCTACATTAGCCTTGTAGCTGCAGTGCAAAACTAAAGAAACAAACTTTAGACACCAAACTTTTCTTGGATGAATGGTTACATTTGTTGTAAGAGGAAACTTGTGTAAATGTGATTTTTGGCCAAATTAGTACTTTAAACATAAAATCTGTTTGATTTTACTGTTGCAGTACTTTCTTTCATAAATTGCACATCATACATTGTATTTGTATAACCTGCACAAACAGCTGGAAATTGTGGCATTCATTCCAAGGGATGGGACACAAAATATGAGGCCTCATTTCGTCACAGTGTTTACCCTTTACTGCTTGTCATCCTACTGTATTTTCCGTAACTGTTTAACTATTTTTCATGTCCCATATTACTTGGGGTAACCATGTGTGAGGTAACATATGGACACACTCAATGTACATTATATTAAAGTAGACTTTTGAGTTTTTTTATTTATATCAGATTCTCATTCTACACGGCATAGTTAAAGGAATAGTTCGGTGAAAAGTTGTATTTACACAAGTTTCCCCTTACTCAGTTCCATTGTTAGCTATGTTTGCCTTGAAGCTCCAGTGCAAAAATATGCAAACCTGGACACCAAATATGTCTTGGCTGTCCACTACAATTGGGGTAAGGGGAAAACAGCATGCCTGTTATAATACAGCTAAAAACTGAAAGCAGCAGTGTTGTACAGTAAAGCCTTTGAGCTTACGTTTACTGCTGAGTTGAATCAAAGAAGTTTGAGCAATAATTGGATTCATATCACCAATAAAAATTGTTGACTGTAGTTTATTGATGCTTACCTTCTCATTAACCCCTTAAATGGCCAGGGCCTGCTGGCAGGCCAAAAGTTTTATAACACACTTTTATAACCTAAGAATAGCTCAACCAATTTGAACTGAAGTCTCTGTAGTTACTGAATAATAAGCATTAGGATATAATAAGCCTGGTATTTTAAGAGGTTAACTTTAACCTTGTTATTGAGTAACATATCTTCTTAAATTTTCCAGAACTATTTGGGCATGTCGCTGGCTACAAAACCATGACACATCCTCAGAGGCCTAGAGGGTTCTATTCAAATAAAGTGAAGCTGAACTGTCCATGCCTTTGCTTTCTGTAAAACAGAGGAACATCTGAGCAACAACAATGAGACATCTGGGTCACTCAATGAATAGAGTGCCATTTGAGTCCACAGCATTTGATACAGTGTATAAGAGACAAAAATCTGTTAATATGTGTTTTTCAATCTTAAATATATTAAATAATACATCATTAGCATGGTGTATGAAGCATTTTTATTGCTAGTGAAAATAGTATTATAAAGTGAAATAGTGAAATATAGGAATATATGGATATTTTTACATGTCTGTATAGATAGTCATTGAAGTTCTATCTCAAATAATATTATATAATAGTGTAAAAAAAAAGAAACCTTTTGCCAAGCTGAAATGTATATCTGTTTCCATCTTAAAAGGGAATTAAGCTCAAATTTCTTTACAGTGGTGGCGATAGGAACCAAATGTCACAATGACTATAACACAAATACAGCCCATTTTTTTGCTATCCACTACCAATCAACCTACAGGTGTCTTCTGAGTTTTGATATGTAATGTTAACTGTGGTAAGATGGCAGTAAATCTGAAAAAATATGTTTTCTTTGGGGGCTATTTTGCCTCACAACACCCTGCATGCATCTCTTCACCCTGAAAGTAGTTTTAAAAATATATTTTAGGCCAATACCTAAACGCAAATCTATGGTAATACAATGTCTCAGACGTCAGGCAGTGTTCCTTCATTCCTACTCTGGTTCCTACATCTAAACAATTCTGTGAACAATTCTGTCCACTGTGAGCAATTCTGACATGGTAAGTTTCTCTAGAACGAAGCATTTCACATCAAACCTCACTGAACGATTTTGTTACATGTAAGGTGTTAAGCTAAATCTAAATGATTTAGTTATGCAGAAATGTTTTTAAAAAATCAGAGGAATTACACTTTACAAGTTTTGCTTTCAAAAGTTTTTTTGGTGCAATATTTAATGAAAACTATGGAGGACAAAAAATTACTGACATGAAAAAAATCTA